TTCTCAGTGTGACGCCACGAGATTCCGCCGTGCTGTTCAAAGATACAGAAGGCGTTTTCGAGGAGCACGGGTTTGCCCTCACGGTCATGAAGGTAAACATCCATGAACTGAGCAAGAGGGGGACAGTCTCGGTTCGGTTCCAACGACACCATGGACTGTCCGAACCCGTACTCGCCGGCGTCCAAGACTGTCCTATAGTACCATTCATCGGAGGGATCCTGGTACGGCACGAATAGCTCCGAGATAAAGCCTCTGTAAAGCACCCTTCGAGACTTGTGCTTGTCCAGATCGTAGATTGATGCCATCGATATTACTACTCCTGCTCTCACATCGTACCCCACGTGGAACTTCCAGTTGGCCCAGCTGCGAACATGCTTCGATTATTCAAATGAAATAAATGCAATAGCCCCAGAATATGGTACTATAACTTAATTTTTTTAAAACAAAATGCTGTAATTCATTGATCACTATTAATTAATTATTAGAAAAACTGTGAAAAGATCTCAAAATCAAATCAGCACAATGTTGGGGAAAAAACGACTAAACTTGCATAGGATGAAAGAAAAGTCGTAGTATTTTTCCGAAGAAAACATACAGATTTAGAATTTGATTCTTTTCCGTAAACATTATGCTGATTTGGTCCTTTTTCACCGTTTTTCCTAATTCTTATAGCCCCACGCCCGCACATTTTTGTTTAGTCAAATCACAGCTGTTTCCCGTTCCTACAGTCTATTTCTTTCGGTTAATATCTTTCGTTTTTGACTAATTTGAATATATTAAAAAAAATTAGTTAAGTTAATTATTTATAATAGATAGGTATTGTTTTTTTTTAAATTATCCTTCCTAATTAAGTATATTTATTAGAACTACTACTATAAAAACTGGTTTAGAAAAAATAGATAAATATGAAAGAGAAAATAAATTAAAATCTTATATTTATAATTAAAATAAAAATTAAACTAACTCTTATATTAAAAACAAAAACAAACCAATAGTATTAAGAGAACACCGCACGACTCCAGTACGGGCCTTTTGTTCTTGAAGTAAAATAATCTTTATATATCGGCTGACCCAAAAAATAAAAAAGGCTATAGATCTATATATTGTGTATGCAAAATCTACAAGTAGAGAAGTAACATCAGGACTGTCTCATATTTTTGGAAAAAAAAAAAGCATACTCAATTTATTTTAGAACGAAAGTATGCCCATATGCTCCATAATGCTTTAAAAATATTATGGAGCTGAGATTTATAAATTATATTCTTAATACATACATAGTACACAAAGATATGATATAAATAAACTTACATGCTTCAATTCTAAATACAAGTCATTCTTTACTTTTAATTGATTCACGTGTTAAAAAATTTTAAAAATTAACAATATTATTAAAATCGCCATACGTTCAATGGAAACACATGGTTTCAATAATACTTTCATTCATTATACTAAACTTTGCCATTGTATTAATTTATGTTTCCTCGTACTATTTCAAAACTCAGTTTTCAAATACAAGGGAAGTATGAAAAATTAATGTTATATAGTATCTCTGGTTTTTTTTTCCAACAATATATCTAATTCTTAATATAAGATCTGCATTTTATATTTAGACCCATGGCAGTAATTATATAATGTCACACGCACACAAAAGACTAAAGCAGTAAACTTTGTTAAAAATATAAAGATGTGCATATATACTGAATAATTTAAATGTCCTTAAAATCATAAATTATAATTATAAACTTATGCAAAACACAGTAGATAATGTTCGCCAAAGTTCATTCGTCATCCTCGTGAACCATTTAAGGGACAATGTATCGTCATCGACGCCGAGCCTTTAATTAATTAGCGCGGGATGACATCTAAACAGCTTATTGCAGAATGAGCTGATGAGAACGAAAAGTATAGTATTTCATCGGTCAATCTAGATTCGAGACACATCAGCTCGCAAGCACCACATGTTAAAACTTGTTCACTTTGTTAGCTTTTAAACTCATCAAAAGTGAGATCAGTGTTATGATATATACCTGACGCTATGGCCTTGGATCTTAAATCCTGGCCCCTCTGGTTGAATCATGGCCATTCCGTGAAGCTTAGGACCAAAAGGTGGCTGTTGATGCTCAATTCTATACTCAGTATCCTCGGCCTTAGGCACAGGTTCCACAGATCTATCCCGGTACTGAATAATCTTCATCTTGTCAATATCTACCAGTATAAGGATTCCATTGATTGGCCTCACATATATATTGGCCGTCTCGCCCATCATAAAGCACTCAATTCTCAAAGAACGAATGCTCTTGGTCTCCCCATACCAGCCAACAGTAAAAGCCGCGCACACAACGTCCGACAAGTTGAGCCCTCTCTTTTTAACCGACTCAATGAAGGGACCGTACTTCAAGGGAAGTAAAATGGCCTCATTTTGTTCGTCGGAGGTGAGGGTGGGGAAGCCGTTACTGGTATGAACATTATCGGAGAGGATTTTTCGGGTTTTGAGGTTGACAAGGATCTCGTGGATTTGGGACTTCACGATGGCGATGACAAAGGCGAGGCGAGGGATGTGTACGAGGTTTTTGTTAGGCGATGAAGCCCATTTAAGTAAGGTGGTCTTGTCGGGGTCGTCGAGGCCGACATAGTGGAATGTAGCGTCGGAGGGGTGTTTTTTGAGGACGATGGTTCTGATCAGTGCAATCTCGTCTTTAGTGAGAGGGTCGAGTGGGTGTTCAGTGGTGATGATCGGAGAAGACGGGGTGGTCGAAGCAGAGGACACTGCTCGGAGATGGAGAGAGAATAGGGCAAGAAAAGAGATGAGCGTGAGGACAGGTTTTCTAAAGGAGAAAGCCATGGATTACTCCCTCCTTCTCTGACCGGAGCTTGCTCGGAGCTGAGAATGGGAAGCACACAAGACGTTAGAATCATGGTAGTGTCCTATTATAGCTTGATAGTCTCATAGATACGGCTTTTTTTTTGGGCCCGATCATAGATTAGGGCTTTATGTTACAATAAATTTTTGCTGAAGAGGTAATAAATATTTGCGGCGGCCCTCTCGTGGTCCTTCTTGATGTAGCCTGTGTTACTTAGATGGAATTCAATAATATCGGGGTTTTTTTTTTGAAAGAAAAGGGACAATTTGCGGCTTATTAGATTATATACTAAACATCTTTCTTAATTTCTTTCCTCTCTATCCTACTTAATTATTGTTTGGAAAATATCAATAAAATTAACCTGGAAACAAATTAATAAACATGTAAAATAATTCTTACATATATGACTAATATCAATTTTTTAATTGGGTTGTAAATTAAAAAACGGAGAAACACCTTTAAAATAAAAGAGAGAGAGATGGAAAAAAAAGTTAAAAAAATTAACCCCACCTATAAAATAACAGATTTACCGCAATTCTTATGCGAGAGCGAGTTGACAATTCCCTTTCCTAACGGTCTCGCTTGACCCACATTTACAGAGGATGCAATAAAAGAACCGAGTTACGTGGAGTTATAAAGTATTAGTAATAGTCTTCCGGTTCTTAATATAAGATCTAATTATTGAGTTGGTTTTAATCCTAAATATAAGACCCATTTATCATATTTATCAATTTTCTTTAAATTACCCTTATAGATACTCCTTCAACCATGATCAAGTAGAAGAGGAAGATGGGTATTAAGAAAGATGATTATGGTTTTTTAGGAAAAACATGTCACATTTCTTATAATTAACTAATTTACCTAATTTTTTTAATCTAATCAAATTAATTAAATAAGTCTTATATTAAAGATCGGATGAATATTAGATATTCTTAATTTTGAAGCACTGAGTAATTCTAGTACCCTGCCGTAGAGGCAACTTAACTAACACATGAATAATCAAAGCGAGACATGCCCGGAGGCTGGAAAGATACTAACTTCGCTACCCGATAAATGCTGCCTCCCTGTCGGAACTCAGATCAAACTGTTCACTGACTCGCGAGACGTGCTATATCCAGTACAACATGGGGGTGGAACTTCACATCCACTTCGAGAAGAGATCTATGAGACACGGTCCATCATTTTCTCAAACTGGGACCTGGAAATGTTTCATTCTTCCAGGGAGGCGCTACTCTGTGCGGACTACTTGGCAAGGAATGCTCGTCTAGTGTCTATGGAGGTGAACCTGACTCAACATCCTCCAAGTTTTTGTGTTCAAATGCAATAAGACTTGGTGAATAGTCACAGGGGTGTCTATATCTGAGGTTTTGTAATGTGGTTTTAATCTGTTCTACAAGCTCACAATTGCCTTACTTATTCCAACAACAAAAAAACTCATGTGCCACAACAATTAAATATGCATATATGCAATATAAGCCGGTAACTACGGACAGATGGCGAAGCAGAACTTTTTCCCCAGAATTATCCAAGAGATCAGCGGATTTTTTTTGGGGGGGGGGTAATTAAGCAGCTTGATTTGATTCCTGATCACGCCAAATGCCCAGTATGACCTGCTCGAGTTGGGCCTTGATGGACTGCAATGTGTTATTAAATTTAAGCGTACTCGTGGGGTTGGATTTAGTAAAAATAACTAGTTTTTTAAAACATAATAAATTAATATTTAAATTTTTGTTAAAAAAATACATATATTTAATACTCAAAAATATTTTGAATAGAATTACCTTCCATGCAAAAAACAGTAAAAAAATCTGAACAGGCCCAACAGTTGCCAAACCCAAATAAAGAGCTATCAGGGAACAAGCTAACTCGGCGTGACTCGTTTGAGTTATGACTTTGCATGTGTTAAAGGCCCGTGCAAAGAGTTAAAATGTCAAACGAATGAAATAGGACCTAAATAACTAAATTATGAAAATAAGGACATTGATTTTCCCCCGGAAAACGAAATGCTGGCTTCCCGCCACCTGGAGGCATCAAAACGACTGGCGCTAAAAACAGGCCCGGAGATAACTGTAAGAAAGGAAAATCTTCCCGTCTTCATCCATCCAAATATCTCAGCTCCAAAATCCTACTTCAGCTGTTTTGCTGCCTCCCAAAATAACGCCCTCTCTCTCTCTCTCTCTCTCTCAAAATGTCTTCGTCTCCCACACTTGCTCTTAGTCCAACCGTGCCTCACAAGTGCTACTTTCTCCGCAATCAATCGGCTCTTTCTCCATTTATCAGACCTTCCTTCTCACTTCATGTTTCCTTCAGATCCCTCACCTGCCGCTGCTCTGCCGATCGCGAAGAGGATCGATGGCTTCGCGAAGAGCAGCGTTGGCTTCGTGAAGAGCAGAGATGGCTTCGCGAGGAGCAACGTTGGGCTCGCGAACGCGACTCTCTTCTCCGCGAGATTTCTGACCTTAGGCTTCAAATTCAATCCCTAGAACGCCGGATTTTGGCCTCTGATGTGTCTTCTTCTTCTTCTTCCTCGTCTTCGGTCTCCGATGCTATTGCGAATGTTACGGCGTTGTTGCAGGTTCTGAAGGATAAGAACGATAATTTGATTGCAGAGAGTGGTTCCAGTTCGCGGGAGATGGTGCTAGAGGAGAAGAGGGACGAGGAAGAAGAGATTGTGAAGGAGGTGACGGTTCAGGACACTGCTTGGATTTCGGACAGAAAAGTGGAGAAGAGGGTGGAAAATCGGAGCGCCTTGAGGACGGGATCGGAAGGGGAAGAGGTTCGAGAAATGCAGGTCTGCGAGCAATATGTAGTTGTGCTTCCCTCTAATAAATGAAGGCGTGTGTGCGTTTTATGAGCACTGTTTGGGTTGACATTTACGAATTGATACCGCGGGAATTCCAGTGAAAATGCTTGGGTTTAGAGGTCTTTGTGATAAGGCTAGATGGTAAGTGCAATTGGACATATAGAAAATTTGTTCCGAATTTAGCTCGCTTTAAATATTAGGTGGAGCCGTTAAATCTTAAGAACTAACCATTATTTTTTTTATTAGAATTTGTGCGATTTTATGTTTATTACTTAGCTAGCATGGGCTAAACTAAAATTTGAGATGATAACAGTGATGGTAGAAGTTTTAGACTTCTTGCTTTTGTAGCGGATTGAATCTGGTGCATCATATGTGTGTCGATTAATTAACATAATTAACTATCATGTATAGTTTTGTCATTGTGATTTGTACTGCTTTATGCTTATATGGAAGTGTTATGCGTTATCGTCTCGTTTTTGTGTTTGTTCTATGGAAAGAATTTAATGTGCTTCCCGTGAAACTTCCACTGCCCTAGTTTTTGATGATAAGTAAGGAATTAAGAACTAATGCATCACATGATCTTGTATGATCTTAAAACTTCTGTACTTCAACAGGAAGCGCTATTAAATTTGGGATTTTACTCAGGCGAGGAAGACATGGAATATTCCAGCTTTTCAAGTGGAACTGAACGTGCTGTGAAGACTTGGCAAGTTAGTCTTATTTTTCATAGTTTATATTAAATTATATTTGAAGAGAAGAAAAAGGATTTTTTCTTTCCATGCTGACCTATATTGTAATCTTAGGAGTGCTACACATTTCACCACATGAATTACATTGCCTAATCTGTTTTATTTTCCAACAGGCAGCATCAGGAGTCCCTGAAGATGGCATCATGACAGCTGAACTCCTGGAGAAACTATATATGGAGATAAGGTTTAAGGATGCTGGTGTTGTGAATGAGAAAGAAAATTATAATACTGTTTCACCCGAGGTATGCTAACCCTGACTCCAGAACTATAATGTCAGACCACCAGAAGTCCTTATATTGGATATGCATTTTGACATGTGAGATATCTATCACTTTGACAAGAAAATAAAGACCTGAAGCACATTGTTCATGTGGCCCTATTATATTTGGAAGTTTTCGGGAAGAGTTTAAAGTGTTCCTGGCACTAGTGCCCTTAACACATCTGTAATTATATCAACTCACAAAATTTCCCCCCATAGATCCATAAGGGGTTCTATTTATAAGCCTTCTTCCTCCATTGGCAGCATCGAGAACATAATTATCTCAAAGCCTTTCCCAAAGCTTCATTGCTTGGCAGATGATTTTGGCTCCTGTAAGAGCTCTGTATAGCTGTGTTCTTTATGATTTATTACGCCTACAAGAATTCATGATACTTCAGAAAAAAGCACTGATTGGAATTGCAAACTAAGATTCCATTCATGCCTATGCCTAAAAACATCCTCTTGTTTAATATTTAGTATGAATTATTTTTTATGGAAGGTACCTGATAATGCAGAGTCTCTCAGCCACATGAGACAGTCAGTGCCTTTGCATTACATTTGGATGGGTCGGTAGAAGCTTTCTCTTCCATATATTGAGTTAAATTCTCCCTGATTAGAGTAGCTTCCCTTTGTAGACTGTATGTATTGTGCTGATACAGAGATGATGAGTATATGTGTCACCTTCTGGCTGGCCTTCCACTGTGTACAAGTATCAGTTTGACAATAAAACTATTACGTGCATAAGCTGCTGAACTATACGTTGATGTGGGTTATTTTTCATGTAGGAAGTTGCGAATGGTGCTCCAGTTGCTTCTATGGCAGAAACTTCTGAGTTCCAGCAAACTATTGTGGGAGATGGTGATGCAGAAATAGATGTCTCCCATCAGCGAGTCTTCCTCCTAGGAGAAAATCGATGGGAAGAACCCTCGAGACTTCGTGCCATTAAAGGAGTTGACAAGGGCAAGACGAAGGATGGAACGACACAATGCCATCAGTGTCGTGGGGAAGGTCGCCTGTTATGTACAGGTAATGTTGTTTCCACAGATACTCTTAAGTCTTAATCTTACATATTTACGTAAATGCTTAATTTCGCTATCCAATGTTATGATCAACTACAGCAATTTCCCCGTCCATTTAACTTCCATTTCTTTTATTACAGAATGTGATGGAACAGGCGAGCCAAATATAGAACCCCAAGTAAGAAATGTTCATGCTGTTATAGAAATTTTACTTGTTATTTATCTCCAGTGTGACACAAGATTTTGAAACTCACCCGAGTTCTATCATGCAGTTTTTGGAATGGGTGGTTGAGGCTGCTAAATGTCCATATTGTGAGGGCCTAGGGTACACAATTTGTGATTTATGCGCTGGAAAAATCGTTATATAGGTATGCCATGCATTTCTTCACATATTCATACATGTACACGATTGGCCATATCAATGTGACTCATGATTATGTGATGTGATAAAAGTGTTAGTGGTAAGGAAGTGATCTATATATTTTCAAGATACGGGGGGGTACGTGTAGGATATTATATATCGTCCCAAAAAATTGTAGGGTATCATATTATGTTACTTATAAAATCTTGGTAAAAAGTAAAGAAAACTTGCTCAAGTTGGTTTAAGTAGTATGGGTTTTGTTTCCTTAAGCAACTACTAGTATGGGATACCATTTGCCTTTGATACTTTTTTTTGCAAAAAAAAATTGTTAGACCAAAAAGAAGAAAAATAGATAAGATTTGAGACTTTGTATCTAATGAATTTCCCTAGTTTTTTTAACTTTATTTTGCTGGCAGTGGAGATCAATTTCTTTTGGCATACCGAGGACAAAAGTTTGATTCCTTTCGGCTAGATTTGTTTTGCATACCAAGCATGTCTTTTATTGTTTTTCTAAAATTATTGTTTTTGACAATTTTTTAAATTTTATTTTATTAAGCGAAGTTCATTTTTCCTTTGTCTATAATATTTTATTTATTTGGCCAAAATATATTTTATTTAAACCTTCATATATATTAGGTTCGCATTATGTGGTATTTACATTTCTTGCCGATGATTTATGGTTCCATATTGTATGTCTTCACTCCAGCCAATAGCAAATTCTGTATTTTATATTTCACCAATATATTTTTTAATTTTATTCGCATAATTTTATTTTGAACTTTTTATGAAGAATATTTTAAATTCATTATCTTTTCTAAGTTACTCTGCGGCTGGTAGAAAGAAAATTTTGAACTCGATTAAGTACAAAATTTGTTAGTCAATTTTGCACATTTTGATGTACTTGTTTTGATTTAATATACCACCTCCGGTCCTAATATAATTAGGACCGGAGGTAGTATTAACTTAGTCCACTCATGCATTACGTGATATTTTTATTATTATTTAGATAATCATTTAAAAATATTTGTTAAACTTTTCATAGCATGCTAGTATCATGTAGGAATGCTTTACAATTTTCATTGATGTGTGTTTTTAACACGCATTTAATGTATTGAGCTGTGGGGGAAAAAAAATATCATATATTCGGGTAGCATAATTAACATACCACACAATGTATCCTAAAAAAAAAACAGAGAGAGAGAACACAGTCGCGCGCGCGCACATTGATAAAGCAACATGTCATTGATTCAATAAATTTATAGGTTGGACACTGTGCACAAAATGCGATTAAATTTTAGATGATGACTAGTTGGATCAAATCAAACGTACATAGTTTTTTTTCCAATCGAACTGCGTGGATACCTTTCCTCCCTAAATAAAAATTTAACTCCATCGTTCTCCTACCTGCAATCTATCTCTTCCTTCACAATATTATACTAGTCTTTAGCCAGAAAATGAAAAAGTTAGCTTAAGATTAAGCCTCAACATAATACTTTAATAAATTTTGTTTCATAAATTTATAATTTTTCTAAATATTTTTGTTAATTATATGCATATTAAAAAATTAATAAAAAAGTAATTTCAATACATATGATTAAATAAAGTAGTTTTAAAAAACTAACACATTTGTTACAAATAATTACTTTTAATTAATTTTTTTTGACATTTGCAAATTAAGTTATAAATATAAAAACATAAGTAGTAGTATTTAGCCTTTATGTCAAGGAACAGTAGTGATAACTAATTTCTGCCGTTGCATATTTGATTGGAGCGCATGATTTTGATGCTTATTTCTGCAATTCGGAACCAAGCTTTGGTTGTCCCCATAACATTGGACGCCCTCATGCTAAGGTTGCACAGAGACTGTGAATTTGCCTGTAGAAGATAGGATAGCTAAAAGATGCATTGCTACTAGACAACCTCATCGTGCAACATAATCAAATACAGATGATCTTAATTTATTAGAGACGCTAAATGATGGAAGTAAAAATCAATTTATAGTTTTTCGACTTTACCGTATAACCAAGCATAAAAAACAGCGTACTTGCGACTTATAATCACAAATTTGTCTTCGGCTTGCCCTGACCCGCAACACGCCTCGTCAGTGATCGCATGGTCACGAACTCCTCAGCCGCAGTCGGGTGTAATCCCACCTACATATTTAGCAGAGAAGAGAAGCTTTTCAGAAGGCGCGAACATTCCTCATTCTGGTCTAATCATAGCATTTTTAATTATACTTCCTCCAGTCTAATATATTCCCTCCAATTCTAAATATAAGACCTACTTTATAGTGTAATTTATACTAGAAAACATGTTTTATATTTAATATCGAAGGAGTACAAAATATAAATAGCTGAATTACGTATTATCTAATTAAAAGTAATAAATGAATATGAAATATATTTTTGTACAAAACATATGGAGATAGCAAGAGAAGGGGCGTATGCCAAAAAAAGATGAGAAAGAATGCATGAATTACGTATTATCTAATTAAAAGTAATAAACCCTAGTTAAACTTGATTATCCTAGAAGAGGATAATATCTTATTCAAATCAAAGTAACCTAAATCCTAGATGGGATATGATATTGCTAGATATCTCATCTTTAGCCTAAAACAAAAAAGAAAAACTTTAAAAGGACATTCAAACTAAAATCGTAAAAAAAAAAAAAAAAATCATGTTCCGTCATAAATGACTCAATCCAACATATGATTAGCCATGACTCAACATATTTAGTATTCCTCACGTCATGTTTTTGTGGTACAGAAAAGATCCATCTTAGGCGGCATGGAAGGAAGCCGCAGGGATCCAACCTAAAGCACATCAAGCTTATCTCGACCTTATATTCAGATTAGTACTATGTATAGTGTTCGCTCATTGGCGTGCATGATTAAATTTTAATGTAACCTAAACAACGCACAGTGATTTTTTTTTGGGGGGGGGGGGACATTTTTTAATTTTTCCAGGGTTCATGTATAAAATAAACCACACATTAATGAAAGCTTTCGAGGAATCGCAGGGTAAGGTTACCCCCTGCATCGCCCAAGTATTCGAGATGCTCTAGCACGTTTTAAATCACAGCATTTGAAGCAACATTAGGCAACCACTGTCCTATCCAGAATAACAGAGGAATAAGCAACAAAAGCTTTGAACTTACCGTGCTGTCAAATTGTGCCTTAGTAGCTCCACACTTCAAAGCAACAGCAATTCCCTGGAGGTCCACACCAAATTAGGATCAGGAATTTATAGCACAATAAACCATATTCAAAGAAAGTGAGGAACAGCAAAAGGCAAAATGAAATCTAGCCCTATAAAGGTCCCCATAGAAACAAGCCCATCACAACAAACTCTCATGAGTAGTATATAACAGTTAGCTCAACCAAAAGAAAAAAAATACTACCTCTGGACTTTAATATGAAAGTTATTTTAACTTTTAATTTGGTTCTAAATATGATACTCTAATCCACTTTGTTTTTCATATTTATTTATTTTTTCCCAAGATAGTTCTTGTAGTAGTTGCACATATTAAATGTTTTATCAAATGGTAGCTCTAACTAATAAACTTGATTAGTAAAGATATTTAAGAAAGACAACACCTATTTATTAGAAATAACTAACTTAACTAAAAAAAATACTACCTCTGGACTTTAATATGAAAGTTATTTTAACTTTTAATTTGGTTCTAAATATGATACTTCAATCCACTTTGTTTTTCATATTTATTCATTTTTTCCTAAGATAGTCCTTGTAGTAGTTGCACATGTTAAAGGTTTTATCAAATGGTAACTCTAACTAATAAACTTGATTAGTAAAAATATTTTAAGAAAGACAACACCTATTTATTAGAAATAATTAACTTAACTAATTTTTTTAGTTTATTTACATTAGTCAACTTAAGGATAGCAGGTAGTATATAACATTGTTCTTCCCTTAAATTTCTCTATCTTGACACTAAAATAGTCGTCACACACAGTAGTTCACCCAGCGTCAGATACAAGTCTCAAAACCCTCATCTTTACAAATTCCAATACGAAAGGAAATGAATAGCTAACAATTTGAAAGACTTAGATCATAAATTTACTGCCTCCTTAGGTAATACCGGCAAAAAGAACAAACAAATTCATCTTATATACTTGCTGCAAAGGCCACTGAACTGCATATGTTACTCTTCATTTGCTAAAAAGACAGCATCCTACAGGCAAATTCCCAGACGATGAAATTTCAGGTGTGGAACCATACCTGCATAATTTCAGGTGCATCTGGCCCACACATTGATGCTCCAAGGACTTTATCTGTCTCAGCATCAACAACAAGCTTCATAACAGTTTTTTCTTGCCGCCTAGTTAAAAGGAACCCTTATTAGTAATTGTTAGAATTTAGCATCATATTTTGATAGGGATAAATAGATTGTAACGAACATAACTACTACTGAATAGAAGTGTTCTTGAAAAGCTTGGAACTAGAGCGAACTGGTATATGCCACAGCATAAACTAGAAAATTTAAATTTTAGACAAGATTGTGAATGACATATTGATAATAAGATGGTAAACCAGGACACCAGCACAGCAATTGAACTGGATGCCCAGAGTACTTACATTTTATGTATCTATCACTATTTGTAATAATAAACTGATGTCTTCTGGTCTTATATTTCAAATAAATGTTCAAGTGGGGCGCAAAAATCTACATCAATGCACATACCCAGAAATGGTGTTCTTCATTGGATTGAATGTTGATGTAAAGATTAAAATATCACCGTTTGCTTGCTCTAGTGCCTGTTCCTCGCTGAGACCAACTACAGAAAGTGGTGGAATGCTGCAGAGGAGAAATGATCATGAAAATAACGGCAGAGGACAGAACGGAAGGAGACATATTATTATCATATGTTTTCCATATGCATAGCTTCTAAGGTTTGTTACTCAAATGGAACTGTACCTGAACACTGCATAGGGGACATTATTGTAATCTGGCTTGCTTGGTTGCCCCTTAAATACTGTGTTCTGGAAGAGGCAAAAGAAATGAAATGTCATGTGTAATCCTCTACACCTAATATCCCCTCACCACCCCAACATGAAGATTCATGATATGCTGAGTCACATGGGACACTTACAGCAAAGCATGTTCCTTCCATCAGTGCCACAGGAGTAAGGTTCATTCGATTTGTTACATCCCCCACGGCCCATACGCTAGGCATGTTGGTCCTTGAGTACTCATCCACCTAAATGGCGTGGAAATGGAATGTGATGAGTTGGGTCTTGAGAGTGTCACAAATTATAATCATTGTTTATGAAATTGCCCTTGAATTCATCATCCAGAAAATTGGCTGAAACATATCATTCAATGCATTTCAAAGCTAACATGAAAAAATACAAGGTGCACTGGAGCCACCAACTTCTACCTGCACACAACCATTTTCTTACCGGCCTATATTCCTATGCACTTAGAAACTAACAAGTGGGTGTCTTGCCTAACCAGGAAACTGGGAAAGATGACATACTTCCCTATCCCTCTAAAGACGTAAAAAAAAGTGAAGCATCTGTTTTTAACTGTAGAGATAAATAACCTAATAAATAATTATAATTCCTTTCTGTTTATAAAAAAGCACAGAGAGAAGAATACAGTAACCAACATCATAACAACATGATAGCCATTTGCAGTTCTGTTTTGTCCTCTCAACCCCCCAGAAAAATACTTGATAGTCTGGGGTGAAGTTGAGACATGTCTTCTGTAGTTCAAACAATATGCGACATGGACGCAAGAAGATGCGGCAAACCTTTATAGCCCCAGTGTTGTCAAGCTCCACACCAGCTGCTTCTAAATTCAACCTCTTAGAATTAGGAGCCCTACCTACAGCCAAAAGAAGACGATTGAGCAATTCTGAGATCTTTAGCATTTTTAATACAAGTTTAACAAGCAATATGATGCATTTGGTTTCCACTACCTTTAGATTATAGGGATTAGCTCAATCTAGCACAAGTTAAAGGCCCTAGAGATAATTTACCGTATAATGATAAAATTAACATTACAATTTATTATTCAGAAAGCTAAAAAAGGATGAATATCCTTTTCTTTTTTTTTCCTTCTTGGCTACTTGTTCTTACCAGTGGCGAACAGTACAACATCAGCCATCAACTCCTCACCATGGTCTGTAACAGCCATAATTCCATGCTCTGTTTTCATCAACTAGAATATACAATTATTGACATTAGTTGAGCCTCAACTAGAAAATTCAAATAGAATTTGGATATTCACAAAAGTTTAGCTCACAGTAATATATGAGAGTCCCACCAAAACCCCAAAGGAGATACCTTTGACAAATTTGTTCTAGGGTGCAGATTAATTCCCCGGCCTTCAAGATTTCTGGCAACTACAGCTCTCATTTCATCATCAAAGCCTCTGCAACAGAAATAAATTTTCATTGGCAATATGTTTGGGTGGAGAGCAATGGGGTGAATTAAAGGAGAAGGAATCACAATCTGGAAGATAGTAGTTCCCCGTGTAACAGAGTCAAAAACTTTATACAGAATCGAAAGGAAATCAAAGGGGATTCCCCTCCTTTATCTGCAAACTCGATTGTTATTCCCTTCCAAATTAGAGGGCATAGCAGTAAAGAGAGAAAGCAAGTTTATTTTAAAATCTTGTAATTTACTTTGGTGGCCTAAAGCTATGCATGATGAAAAGAGTATTAGCAATTAATAGTGATTTTAAACTGGTAAACATCCTCCTTTGCCATATCAGCCGCATCCTGACAAATGGGAGGTATCCTTTTCCATGCCATTCTTTCCTTTGCTGTTCCTTTCCCCATCTTCCGAACTTCCAATTATAGCTTTAATGGTAATGCCGCAGACATAAGAGAAGTGATGTTAATGAAGTATTACTAAATAATGCAACTTGTCTATGACATTTCTCCGTTTGACAGGGGAAAAACTCTTTCTATCTTCTAGAAATAGACCAACCTCAATCATCCCCCTCTACTTAATTGCTTCCAATTTCCTGTGCCATCCGAACAATCAGAATACATGCACCAATTCCTTATTCTCATCTAATCCATACTTGGCCATGAATTTCAATATTCTATTACTCACAAAAGGTTCAAATATGCAAAAAACCTTTGCAGATCTAGAGAAGAAGCTCAACATAAGCATACATTATTAACTGCAAAGATAACCATGATGTCAGCTATGGAATTAACCAAGATATGGACTAAACCCTTAATCACGCCTCAAATGCCGAATGGAATCATTGGGGAAACTGTAACCACCCTGGCCAGCTTCCTTGTTTTAAATTTTACCTTAACATCCCCCCCCCCCCAAAAAAAAAAAATCCCTCTCCATGATTACAGAAGAGCAAACCTCAATGGAAGTTCTTTTCTGAAAACTAGATCGACTGTGGAACCCATTCCTCTCCATATGGAAGCAAACTCAACTGCAATATAACTGACAGTAGAGAATAAAAATCAATAACCACCAGATAGAATGCCCGAACAAACACATGGATGAAGAAAACAGAGGCATACCCTCCTCCAACCACCACAGCACGCTTAGGCAACTCCTCCAAACTTAGTGCTTTGTCAGATGTTATAGCCAACTCCTGCAAGATAACACCACCGCAGAGAAATAGGAAGAAATAGTGTGAATAGGAAGACATAAACTACACTCAAAATAAAACTGATAAGAAGTAACACGATCAATAACATAGCAGATGAAGTAATATGAAGCAAATATATATAATGATATCATAGCTGTGATAATGATAGAAGTTGGTGAGGCAACTAACTTGTCAGAAGCATATATTTGCCAAAAAAAAGTATCAAAACACGAAGATTCACCTCCCCAGGAATATTCAGACGCTGAGCCCTGCTCCCAGTTGCAATTAATATGTGCTTGGCTGAATAGGACAGTTTGGTGCCATCCAGTTGTGTCACCTCAACTTCATTTGGACCTGCTAACCTGCCCTCGCCTTCAAATAATTTAACCCCAGCATTGGATAACAGCCGCTTGTAAATTCCATTCAATCTGTTTATTTCATCAGTCTGAAGTTTGCAAAAAACTTAGATTAGTGAATGACATGCAGTTTCCATCTTGAATAAGTTTTGAAAAGAAAATTAGAGACGCTAATCTTCTGCCACTGGAGAAGAAACCTGATCACATGAACAAGTCCCAGCACTTATTTAAGATGACATCAAATATATGAACACAACATTAAGCAGGTAAGTCCTTATCTTTGATGCCTAACTATAATGTTTATAGGCAATATAGCACAAAAGCCCTGCAGTTTTCCCATTATGAAATGCATGATTAACAAAACTGATATCAAAATTCACTACCAAGCATCAATTGTGAATTCTATATCACCCTCATCAGAAAAATGGAAAAAGTACTGAATGGTCTGCACATTAGAATAGCAGAAAACAGGTCAGTAGTTTTGTGCTGTCATATGTCCAACTGACAATTTGAAGCTGGTAATTGGAGAGGATGTGGTCCAAAATATATCGGATGTCACATGAACAGTCACCATCAGGCTAACTTCATATAGTGTTGTCCGTATAAAGAACTGAATGGTATACCAAAACTTTGGCTGTCAAACGTTCTCACAGTTTCTAATACTTTTTTTATTTTTTCTTTTCTCAGACATATTTACAGTTCATTTAGTCCAATTCCTTTGATGTCATGATAACATAAAGGCTGAAATAGAAAGAAAGCTAATAATTTCAGAAGCATGGAAAACTTAAAAAGTACCTTCTTTTGCAATAGTTTCTTCCAATTAAAATCAACCTTCTCACTCAATTCCCACCCAAATTTTCTGGCATCCTACAGAGGCAGGTGTGTTCATTAAACCATCAGTGAATAGAATAAACAGAAATGGTAATATAGGCAGCACCATATTTTTATATTAGAGATTATAGAAAACAGCTACTTACTTTTCTATCTCATTCACTGTTCTGTTAAGTGATGGCATAATTTGTTTGGAAAATTTCTTAGCATAACTATTCTAATACTTCCTTTTCCAAATTTTGATTAATGTGCATGTAAAATTTAAAAGTTATTAGAGGCTACATCCATGCATGCACATGGAAGCCACCGCATCAGCTGCAATCATGACGTGGCATATTAGCATAATTTGGGCTTACTGCTTTTTGTTGCCATGCCCCCTATGCAAACGGCTTAAAATAAGCAATTAAGAACAGAATCCCATAGAAGGAATGCATAAATGTGTAAAAATTTTATACTTACGCTAAATATTAGAATCTCTGCTGATATAAATCACAACTACAAGCTCTCTTAAGTTTAAACTCTCAAAATTTTCAGAAATTGTAACTCAACTCAACAATAAGGGGAAAAATAAGAATCCTTTTCACGCAGATGATTGCAAAGGGAAAACTAAATGAAAGAACCGATTGTGTTAACTAAGCAGTTCACTATAATGCTTGGTACTGCGAGCTTACAGATCAGATCCCTACCTCAAGCTCACCTCCATAAGATGCTCCATAGACCAAAATCTTTTTGGGAACACAACCACGAATAACACACCTGAGAAATAAAAGATATATAGTTCTTCATGAATAACTTCGTGGCTACTGTATTAATATTTCTATTTCTTTTCAGGGAACTTAAAAGATAGAGGAAGGAGGAGGAAGGACAGGAGATGACAGGTTACATTTAATTATGCATCTAAAGTATAAATTAATCCCCCACAAAAGCAAATATTATGATGCAAGTTTGCTAAAATTAAACATAAACAATTCATCACTCCAGCATAAACAGAAAATTTATCCATGAAAAAATGTTTCTGAAATTAAAAATATAATCTGCTGGCAATATGTCATGAATAGACCACAAATACATCTTGTTCATTGCAAACAAGAAGAGCAGCATGCCAGAAGGCAACGAAATAACATGGTAGGTAATAAGAATCTATAAAATATGAGAGGAAGACTGAAATAGGATCCAAAGCTGTACGACACAAACAAAGCCAGTTTAGGCTACTCGATGATAGATAGACCAAACAAATTATAAATTCATTGTAACAACAACTAATACATGATAATTGAGTCCTTTAAACAAAAACACCTAGCAGTTTTACACAAGCAAAGTAGTTAAAAACAGTTCCAAATTGACCATGAATTCTTGATTTAAGCATTTGGAGATATAGACTAAAACAACACAGCAAGTTTAGTTATGATATCAGAAAGAAGCAAACTTCAAATAAATGAATTAATGAACATTTACTGGGAGAATCTCAGTTTGGAATTTCCTAGCAACAATATTTCAAGCTAAGGAAGAACTAACCGAACAAGTGGCTTATGACATTAATACATACATAATAAACACAATACGAACTTTTTGAAATCTGTGAATTTCAACTAAGTGTAAAATCTATTTGAAAACAATTCATAAATCGCGATTCTCCTTTTTTTACAGGATAAAATGACAAACAATTAGAAAAAAAGGAGTTCAACAATTCAGAAAGCGAGGAAAATGCTAAAAGAAACAACAGTCAGTAACACAACTGCAAGCTACTATAACCCAATTAGCATGGAAGACCATTCAAACGAGAGAAAATTTGACAAGGAAGGAGCACTGAGTGCGTAAGTTTTGAAGAAATGAACTTACGTTCCACCTACTCCTCCAATCGTTTCTGAGCTAATCGGATGAAATGGAAGTTCACAAATCCCCACCTTGTAAGACAGATTTCAAGATATTAGAAAATGACAAACCACGGATAACATTTGAAAATAGAAAAAATCGATCACAAGAATAGTTGACAGAATATGACCTAGCAATAACAAGCACATTACAAACACTACTGCTCCAAAAGTTAGTAACGAGCAGTAATCCACAGCCAAAGCTAGAAACAAGGATTTCTATCGGTGGTAATCATAAAGAACAACGGGTAACTCAAAATTATCTTGACATACTAGCGACAAACGTCATATTAACTGGTTCTATAGTGAATAAGAGCATGTTTACACACCTTGGCCCCATAATTAGCCGAAAATCTGGAGGCACGAACTCCGCCACTTCCCGCTCCGATAACAAACAAGTCGAAGTCATAGTTCTTGTCATCTTCACTAGGCTTGCCCAATTCCCCATCGATAAGCATCTTTCGCGCCATTGCTACGAAACAAATCGAGATAAGACTACATGAAAGAAATGAACGTCACCGCAAAAACAGTTCAGAGATCAAACACCAAATCGATATACAAACCAGTAAAAAGGAAAAACACTACTGACGCAACCACGATCACTCTATTTCGAAGTCTAAACAGGAATAAAGAGCTGAAATATTTGCGTTGTAACGCATTTACAGGATACTCGTTCAAGAAAATCGAAATCAAAATTCTGGATTCTACCTTGATTTAATATGCGAGATTCCGGGAAAACAGAATAGGAAGATTAGCTACGGGCGCGTTACTTGGACAGCGAGAAATGTCTGAATTACGGTTTTCTAGGTCACAGTAGCGCTTTATATATGCGTGTCCTAATAGGCACAACGACACGACCGAAGTTGTGAAGTCAGAGATCTTAAAAAAGAGTAGACTGGGATGGAGGCGAAGCATTAAGTGCCAAGAGGCAGTGGATCCCGCTGACGGAGAGGGCTGAGGTAACGAAATTTGTTTGCTTCTCTGGGACGGTGGGACCCCGTTCCATTTGCTTTTGCTTAGCCCCTCCCTTTTGCCACTTTCCGTTAACAAAATATTCACACCCCACCCAGACACATGCAATATAAAATGAGTATACGTGATCTTCAAATGTCATATAACACAATTTTAATTAAATCATATCTAATTAAATTCCATCCGATAATTCAATAAATAAAGAATGAAAAACATAAGTTCTTGGTTCAAACCCTGTATCTAGGAAAAATTATGGTCGGAAAAGTTTTAATGTAACCTTCGGAAATGAATTAACGTTATTTAAAAATATATATATATAATCGCCAACAGAATAGTAAATAACTTTTGAAATCTTGGGTACCAAAATTAGATACGAGTTCCCTAAAGTTGGTTAAATTGGAGCTTTGCAACCTTTTGTTGGTAAGAAATAAGGGTGCATAACCAATATTATGGAGTAGGCTGAGGCCGATGGCGCTAAGGGTAAAAAGCCCAGTGTGAGCAAAAGAAAAGATTGTGACCACACCGATGATGACATATGTGCGTGCGTACGAGACATAAGAAACTGTACTGGAAAGCAGAGTCATCGGACGCCAAGCATTCTTGTCCACAAAATTCGTCACTGGAATACGATTACCATTTGCCTTTCCCATCTTCTCCATATTTTTATTTAGGAAAAATCGTGAACAAAACCACCAAAATAAAAAAATTACAAATAGAGACATATAACAAAATTAGTATGGGTTTGGATAATAACTTTTGTAAACAGGTCTTTATGTGCAACTTTTCTATTTCGACACTTTTATGATTTTTCCTTTTATTTATCGATCTATCTAATTGTGGTTAATATCAAAAGAGTAGCAGATTTTCCTGCAAAATATTTGTACACGACGCGCATTTGGCAGCATTAGATTCTCCCAATACCACATACGGCGCCTGAATATTAAACTCTTGCTCTTCTTTTTTTTTTTTTGGGGGGGGGGGTGAAAGGTTTCTGCAATCGTTTTAAATTCGACAATAAATTTTTTTGACCGTGAATCCGACCATTAAATTGACTAAAGACATGATTTATATGAATAGTAACACAAAGGATAGTCAAATTTTTATTGAACAAGCACCTTGTAATAAAGAAGATTGCATTAATGACTAACGAACGAAAAAACAACAGCACCAACGAGGAAGATTAAAGATTGTCCTAGAATGTAACTCTACTGACGGGGTAAATCTTCTACAAGAATATCACCTGTGGCTAGCAGATGTGTTAAGGTCAAGGATGGGATGAGACGTGGTTAAAACTTAAAAGGTAATACATTTTTTTCTTCTAAGAATAATCTTCAAGGGGTAGAGATATAGCGAGTGTTACGCATCTCGAACAATTTTTAAAATTCATTTTCTTTCATTACACCAAGCAGAGCGGCCTAAACTTGCCATAAAACAATCATGGGACAAAATAACCGTAAGTATACGTTATATGATTTCTGTTCTTTTTACATAAATTGGTACAACCAATACCATCAAGACATCAATAGCCTGACAATATTTTGGCAGAATTCTAATATTCATATGCTAACGACAATAAGCGATAGACACACTTCGAACCCCTGACAGGGAAATACTGGGTTTACACGTTACAAAAAATGCTAATGAAAGTCAAGTTTGGGTGGAAACAAAATAAGATTTAAATTACCTTGAAAAGAATTGAAGGAAGAAAAAGCGGCCGAAATACAATGACAAGCCTACATGGTTTAAACTAAAAGGCCATAAAAATGACGACTCATCATTTCCACAACGACCACTGCCTCAGACCTTGACCATCAATTACTAAAGAATAACAGCATGGCTGGACCGGGAATTGTTTCAATGAAACGTACCTGTACAAAACTGTTAAATATCAGCAAGCACAATGGAACACAGAATTTCCAAAGCAGCCAGATTTAGCCGCAATCTTTCTCACAGTCGTTTCATTATGAGAGAATCCTCCACTAGCAGGCGGTATGTGGATTCTGTCCATGACGTTGACTCTTGGGGCCTCAAGAATTGCCTTAGGCAGAGTCAATGCATACTGCATACCCCAAATTGCGAGGGGCCTCATATAGATGAGGGACCGGTAGTGCCCATCAATAGTCCATCCCTCTGGTGTCTGGAACCAATACCTATGATGGGGCAAAAGATATAAATTTAGTTTTTGAAAGACAAGAAAACGCAATTATAAAAATGGCGAGTCATGATTTATCCCCCTACGTTCTGCCCAAAATCAGTCTTGTCACCATGTAAACAATGAATTTCTCCAAAAAAAAGAAAAAATCTGACCTTAAGCGCAGCAATATCTCTGAACGCTCAAATTGTACAGGATATAAAGTGAAACATCTAACAATGCAACAGTGCATCATATTAACATTCATGTGATTATTTCGGTTAAAATTTGAATGGAAAATATCACAGAACAGTCAAGTGATGACATAGATATAATAGGATTAAACGACACATTTCAAATCATAAATAGTCTAATTTTAGGCCAAATCATCAGGAGCGAAACTATAATTTAGTCTTATATTAAACCCATGTATATACAAAAACTGAAAACAAAAGGAAGTTACCCGTATCCTTCTTCGGACCAGCCTGCTATAAATATACCCTCAGCAGCTGTGAAGGCCTCCTCCTCCATACCTGCAAGGATCATTGTAGCAGCAACACCATATGTCACACCCGTCCATATTTCTCGAGACTGCATGCAGGTCTCATCCACCTTTCCATTGGGATGCATTCCATTCACAGCACCCATCCTGCCACCTTTAATCTTCATTACGTTGAAATCAAAAATTTTCCTGAGAGCACTTTTAATCTTGAAATCATCAAAAAGGGGAGACAGCCCTGAGGATGCTGTATACCATTGCCCAGCCAGTTGATCTGCTTGAATGGATTTACTATTACTACTTGACCCACTGTCATAGTTGAAATAAGTACCATTCCAAAGTTTTTCTTCAAATGCAGGTTTAGCCTTCAAAAATTTCCTTTTGCATGTCTCAGCAAAATCTCTGTCACCGAGTTGAAGAGCCATTGCAGCTGCAGCCTGGAGAGCAGCAAGCCAAAGACAACCACAATATGCACTCACCCCATGAACTGTCCACGTATCATATGTTTGATCAGGGAACCCATCGTTTTCAATAAGACCATCACCATCCTTATCAAATTGATCCATGTACTCCATTGCAGTTCGAACAGCAGGCCATACATCAACTCCAAATGACATATCGCCAGTTTTAGCAAAATCTCGATACACTTGAAGTACAAATTTTGGGTTCAAATCTTTCCATTTACTGGTATCATGGATATTATATGCATTCATTTCATTCCATGGATCATGTGTCCCCAGATCATGAGGCACAGCTCCTCTAACTTTACGAATTCCCCAATTTCCCTCAGCTAAATACTTCACTTTCCTTCCATCTTCACACAGGACAGCCTTAGCAAACTCACGTTGAATATTCAGCTCAATCTTAGGAAAGAGCTCAAGAAGAGCAAATGAAGCATAGAAGTGTACATCATATGTGCACCACATGATATATTCCACACCTTCCAGGTACAAGAACCTGCCCACATCATCATTGTCACCATATTGCTGGCCCATCATCGTTAAAGTCTGCAGAGTGCCAGTGGGATTTTCCCTTCTGGGAGGAGCCACAGACTCATTGTCATCTGAACCATCCTCACAATGTGTTTCATCCTGGTGATTTTGTTCTGCCGTAGCAGTAGCATCTTCGGCACCATCTGTTTTGCACTCAACAACTGCACCTTGTCTGTTCACTCTAGCTTCAGTTACTGTCACATTTGCATTTTCCAACTCTGTTACTTGATATGGTTCTGTTTTCAAACAAGCAGATCGCAAAGAAGAATCTGGCACAAAGATTGAACTAATCTTAATGCTTTCATGAAAACAAAATGAAAAGGAGGCACCACAACATCAAGTAATACTAATCGTGAAATAACTCATAACTGCAATCCAACATGCATAGGTTCACACATACCAATCCAAATTGTTCCACCAGCAACCAGAAAGTAGAGTTCATTAAACAATGTGAACTTGTACCTGAAATTAGAAAACGCCTCATTAATCAGCCACTGACAAAATAAGGTAGAAAATAAACACATTTGAAACCCCAAAAAAAAAAAAAAGTACAACATATTTAGATAAAAGTTACAAAGGGAAGCTATGGCCTAGCAGGCACTAGAGTTATATTTAGCCCGAGACAAAAGCTGGAAAAAGAATGAGATGTTTCGATCAGAGAGTTGGAAAAAGTACTTCCTGATATAACTAAAGACAAAATGAAGGGAAAGAAAGAGAGAAATTAAGCAATCATAATGGAGACAAAAGCTGTAAATCGACAGCATACAAAAAACAAGTTTTATTGTTATGGTTTTCATTCAACACAGCCTTTTCTGCACTTTGATTAAGGCATTAAATATTTTAATATCTAGAAGTGGCAATTCATATATTACTGAAGTTAGAAGATTACCATTCCGGAAGCTTTTCATCCTCAAGTACCGGACTCTGCCATTTCTCAATCTCTTCTTCCCACCGTTTGTAATCTGTCCATTCCACACCCCAATTAAAAAAAGGTTTTAAATATTATATCTTAAGCTAAAAACTAGTTTGGACATGTTTTCTTTTCAATATTCCCCTCTTTTCAGATTTCACGATATAAAAATTCAAGCTGGCATGGATAAAATAGCACTATTAGCAACACAAACAAACCACAAATTAATCACGCAAGTAAAACAGGCCTGATGAGTATGAATTCCGTTAAAATCAGAATGCATACTTGTTAGGGCATCATGCACCACGTTTGCCGCAGCTTTCTCAGAAGTACCATAGAATTTCGTGTATCTCCTGCAGTAAAAGAGTTGAACTCATCAGAGAAAATGCTATAAAACAAAATCAATTCCATTCCAGTAGTCAATGCTAATAGTAATCTTAAAATGCTCCACAAGGGAGGGAAGTTCTCTGTTTGCTGTTTTTAGCTTCACTTATCTTGCACGAGCAACCCCTTGAGCTTTAGAAGACTGTTGGACTAAGAGATACGCATAGAACTTAGTGAGCCTAAGCACTAACAAGCACTCCAAAAAGAATTCAACACGTTAAAATTCCATCAACCATAAATGCAACCCATGATACTTCTCTGAAAATGTGCATGACAACAACAGCAACTAGCTTTATTCCACTATGCAGGGTTAATTACATGAATTGCATAACACATTGCGCTCTATCAACAACAAAATATTTCAATATATTGTTAACTATATTATCATTAAAGAGCATGCACCAGGGGAGTTAGAACATCTAAAACGTGCACAACATTTATTTACATTTCACAAAAACACAAACTTATTCATCTTAACTTCAGAAGAGTTTCTTGTAAAAATATACATTAACCGCCTAAAAATATTACAACCTGTAATACAGTACCTGTTGAAAGTGCTTCCTTTCACAAACTTCACTTTTGGTGATGACCATGCAAGAGCAAACGCCACAGTGCACTTTCCATGAGGTTCCACCCATGCAGAAGCTGAGACAGCAGCACAAAGCGTCTCTCCTGGTGATGAAGGCATGCTAGGTCCAGCATTAAAATTCTCCCGGTCAAATTGTCCATCCTTAGTACACAAAAACACTTCAATTAGCACCAACGCTAAATATAGGCATCCTAGAGAAATCTGGGCAAAATGCAATGAACGGAAAGAAATTAATTCAGAAAGCAGAAAAACTCAAGTATTGAATACCTGCACCATTTTACCCCACATATCTTTTGCTGTGGGGATACCTCCTTCAGACAGCCCAAAACATGGTAACACAGAAACGCTTACATTCTGTGTTTCACAAGCAGCTATGGCAAACGTAACAGGAGGATTTCGCTTTGCTGTCCTGCAATATTGGAATATCCCTAAGAAAAACTCCCCCTATGAACTTTAGTTATTATGTGACCCCAGTCAAAAACGCATAAGAAAAATCCATGCACGCTCACATCATCAGGACTGAAACTTTCATTAGAAAATAAAGTACAAAGAATATTCAATTTAATTGCTTTAAAACTACTTAAAACGGTTGAACACAGCTAGGATAGCAAACGGTTAAAAATTTAAAATACTCACAAATTATCCACTAAAAAGATTCTTACATTAACAATGAAATTTGAACAATGCCCTTGTGAGCCCTCGTGGGATATAAACTAAGTCCTTAGTTTTTACCAACTAGACCAACTTTTGTTAGCATCATCATATCTTTATCATGTCCCTAGTATTTAGACAGAGAAACAATTAGGATAGCAAACCGTTTATTGATTCTCAATAATAATGACAACTTAATATCCCAGCAATGATAATAAAATTTTGCAAGTATATCCTTAAAAACCTTAAATCTCTCTTTCAGTTCCAGGTACTAGTCCTTGATTTTGCCTTCATTAACATAATTTAGCAGCTCTTTTACCTGCATATTACAGTCACCCTGGTTGTCTTAGTAAGATTCTAAATCATCTGACTTAAAAAGGCCTAAGATCTAAGAGTTTTTAAGTTGAAAGATCCTTCATTTAGCTGTTTAGACCTCTAAAGATTGAAACCTACCAGACAAACATTCCAGTAACCAAACTAAGCAATAATATTCCATTCAACGCACTGTAATTAACCCCCAAATATGAACCATATCTAGGAACGGTAAAACATTTGTCCTCCACATCAGAGATAAACCACATAGCAATCTTCCTTACAGTCCCATTCTTTATGAGCTTCATCACCAGGCACAATTGACATCAGATGCTTTCTATACATCTCCACTATGCATAAAAAACTACAAAGGCATAATCATTTGACCTTTGTAATGTGATCTAGTCAAGGAGTTGAGCAGCTTAACATTGACTTGCAGAGACTTATTTATCAGAAAGTATCCAAGTCTCCGACAATCCGCGTGCTCTTCTTTTTCTTTTTCAAGATCAAATCTAAAACCATATAAATTTCAACCACGTCGCAAGTTACCACAACAAAACCAAAATGACGTCAGATTTGAGTCTTTATAAGCATGCTTTTCCTACATCCCAATCAGTAGACCATTAAACGTTAAAACCCAAATTCAATACTACAGGGAAAAGGGGCCCATTCTAGTAAATATTGTGCTCAGCTTGTAAATAAGGAGTGCAGCCATACTTAAGCCTGAGCAGTGAAAGCAACTTCAGACTATTGAGAACCTTCTCAGTTCTCATCATTGAAAACCTTGCTTTCACCCATTAAGCATTTAAGTATAAAGAGAAATCTGCAAACCAACCGTCATATATAGCTATAAGGTTTGATGACTTGCTTGTGATGTAGAAGTACGCCAGAAACTCCATCTTCAGCTCTATGGAAAAGAGGGAAAACAAGTCAAAAAACAAAAAAAAAAAAAATTGTACACAGACGCATTTCAGATACACAAACATAATTCAGATGAAAACACGTGCATATACTCACATGAATGGTTCATTCACATGATCTCCTGACAAATGCGAGACTCCACCAATTGAATTCTGCAGATCACAAACAACCATGACATATTATCCAAGACACAGCCAGTGCATTCTTTAGCTTGAAAAAGAATGTGAATAGTATTAGTTTCTTTTTTTCCTCTTCCTATATCTTTTATAAACAAGTAGGTGCAGTAACACTTCAACCCAAAATAAAATCATACCGCCCATGTAAATAGAAGGCTGACTTTAGCTCTCTCCTTGCCAGTGTTTACCAACTACATAAGAAACAATTACAAGTGTTTGAGTGTAAAAGAAACACTTAAACACTGACGCAACAGATAACATGAACGAAATGCATAGTAAGAAAATAATGTATTTTTAGCTTTTAATCAAAAGAATCCAAAGCGGAGCTACAAGATATGTCAGCGTTGTAGAAGAAAGTTACAAACCGTATAAACAAACACCGCAGCAGGAAGACTACTTTCTTTATAATTATGTGGTATGAAAGGGGATATCTGACGACAAGAAATTTTAAGTTCCGGGTCTGGCTCACCTAAAAACAAGACAACAACTATTAATCAAGAAATTACAAAAATAGCATATATTAAGTAAAGGAAGAGGAAATGCAATACCATCATATATTGTCCAAGCTCTTGGGAAGAGAGCGTGATAAGTTGAATGCTGGCCACTGAGATTCCAGCCCCACGATGGTATACCGTGATCATCACCTTTCTTGCGAGACCTAAAATGAGACTCAGTGTAAGCTCCTGGTTTTTATGTATACTTTATCTAGATGTATCATAAAGCACCCGCTTCTTTCAAATACTACTGCCTAACAAAAACAGCAAAATTTAAACAGTTGGTTGTTGCCCAAATATTATTGCCCAACAAAGATATATGTAGGAAAGTGTCTTACAACCTGACTTAGAAAGCAAAATAATATTCTCAAAGCTTGGTAAGAACAACAATCACCAATTAAAAACGAAAAGTAATGCCAAGTAGGAGCTTTGCAGCACCCACATAGATCAAGAACAATTGTTTTTCCAGACTCTGACGGATTTAGATTTTCCTTACCCTAACCCTTCATGCTGACCAGGAGCCAAAACGGATGCAAATTTTTTGTTTCCTCCATCTCTACTGATAAAAATCTGAAATAGAGATAGATATATCAGATATGAACTACAAAGCTAAAGGTATAGAATAAGAGAAGTGCATTACAGGTTGATAGCAAGTGAAAGAACAGGGCTTACAGAAAACTGATTAGCCATGACAGGTGAAGCTTCACATAAGCCAGGTAAAATTTGCCATTGTCGAAACTCACCCCTGAATCCTCTTGATATGCTGCCACTCCTGTGTAATTGACAGAGGCATGTCCAAATCAATAACATAGAGAACAACAAAACAACACAAATCTGGTGAGGCTGATGGTGGGTGAAGAACCACAGCATACCCCATCCCTCCAAGTGGAACTCCTTGAGATGCAGATGGCTTGCAACTTTCTCGAGTAAAAGGATCTATAGGTGCTTTCTGCGAAAACCAGAACATGAAATTTATATTTGAGATCTTATGTTTGCATATTATAATCTCAACTATGTTTATAAACTCTGCTGTCTTATAAAATAAGATACAGAAAGAGAAAGGGGGGTGGGGAACCAGAGTAATGAGAACGAGAAATATACCCTTCCATGAGAAGCCTCTTCCCTGACATATGACCATATCCGTATGCCTAGTCGAACCTAGAATATTAAAATTTACTCGCCGCTCAGAGAAGATATGAAAGACATTAAGTAAAATAAGAAAAAAGACAATAAATGAAACAACTAGTCATGGACATCAATATACATTAAGGATTCTACCAACTAAACCAGTCAGGCCAGAATATTGGTCGTATAAAAAAATTAAGTTACTTGCCATCTTTATTGCTTCCATGAAAGTCACACTAAATTCTTTAAGGATATTGGCATGGCTGTTCAATCTTCTCCTCCATGCTTGTTCGGGTGGGGCAGCACTATCAAAATCAAGCTGCAGAAACAGTGTAGGAAATAAATTAGTCAACGCGAAAATCTTGCAAAGTACAAAATACAAGTGGAATCAGCTCAAACACAGTTGAGTTCCCACTTTTCCGTTCTTAATTGCAAGGGTCCCATAGACTGGTTTTAGCCTCAATGCTTGCAGTGTGAATGAAGCATAAAGAATTTTAGAAACCTAAAAATACTGTATCCTGCCCCTTGGTCGTTACTTCACTATACTAATCTAAACTTCATATTACATAGTTTCCAAAGTGAAACAGGTTGCGCTATAAAAATCAAATAAAAAAGAAATGCCTTCAGAAATGCCGTGACTCCTAACTCGCATTACTTTTTTTTTTTTTTTTTGGGGGGGGGGGGGGGAGGGGGGCTCAACCTGCCTGACAAGGCAGGATAACTGCGTCACCATGCAATAGCACAGAAATTTTTAAAAAGTCAAAAAAGAAAAAGCGTGATAATCCCAAAAAAATGCAATATTACACTGACAGATCGATAGATAGATAGATAGATAGATAACCGTTCCAAAGGTAATGTAAGTTTTGGCGCCAGATAACAACGACCGAGTTTTAAAATTAGGAATCCATTAAAAAAACTGTGATTTGAATGTGTCATGGAGATTTAAGAAGAGCAAGCTATGTCTATGTTTTGCGCCAAAGAGCGATATGCAATTAAAGAACCCATCATCCAAATTCCAAATGCAACATCTTCAAGTGCAGTAAGAAAAAATTTGATCAACAAATATTACAGATTTCAAGGAATGCAATATTCAGCTGATCCTCCAAAAGCATTTCACTCACACTGTTTCATAACTGATAAAAAGGTCAAAACACGCAGGAAATACAAATTCTCTGTGTATACTTTATCTCCCATTTATACGTGACAGAGCGGTCCTTTTAGATATAATTTCGTCAAGTTCCTTTTTTTTTTTTTTTTAATCGTATTTCAAACTAATCAAATTATAACAAATCAATCTACAGCCATCCTTCATGTTAGATGTCCTGCGTCCCCCAAAACTGAACAATTTTACAGTAGTCAAGAAAACTTAAAGGCCAACAAGTATCTGTTTGGAAGCTTACCAGCTGTAAAGTAAATTTACTGATATACTCTTCAGGTGGCCACGAATTCTTTCTACAGTGAAAGAGATTAGTGGTCACCATGTTGACGAACAGCAAATCTAATACCGAACCAAGAACCTTGGAAACCTCCGATCACTGAAAGATCACAAAGCACAAGGAAGATGGGGCCGTCGTGATATTTATCTGATGCTATTGAACCAAATAAACAAGCCCCCTCAATGTCCTCCAGACGGAAAAACGGCAATGGAAGCGGGGCAGTGAAGCCAAATAGCAACCATCGCCGATGAAAAGACCCCACCACCCACCACTTACTTGTCCAAGATCTTATTGTTCAATTCAATCAAAACCTTCTCTATTCACTGAATTCACCTTCAAGAGATTCAAAAAACCAAAAATTCGTCGCCTTCAAACTGATCAAATCCGCACTCAAAGGCTTCCCAAACGGAGCAGTTCCAACTTTCGGCTCAGACACTGACAACAAGGATCGGAAATCTAGCGGGTTGACATCCCCGTTATAGAAAGTGCAAACTTGACTGACAGAAGAGTAAGAAGCGAAGATTGAGGGAATCAAAAAATGCCGAACGGGCACAGGTGCGTAGATGCGTGGCGAGCACAGAAAAAGCCGCCTGTATCCGCGAGTCACTGGATTTCGAAACTCGGATCGCCAGGTGGTGATTCGAGAGACCTCTTTCTCTCTCTATAACCTCTGGCCTTTTTAATTTTCTCGCTCTAAAATATTTTGGGGTGTTTGCATATGGGAGGGAGGTTTCGTGAATTTGGATTGCAGCGGGGATCAGTTGGCGCCGATCTATTTTCTTCGATGATGATGGATGAGCAGAGCGCGTCGGTCTGCGCTTTTTTTTTTTTTTTAATCGCCGACCAGTACCTGCAAACTACTCGTTTAATTTTTATTTTAATTTTAAATATAAAATCTTAATTTATTTTATTTTTTATATTTATTTAAAATTATCTCATTAATAATTTTAATTCTAACTAATACATTAATTAGTAATAATATTTTAGAAAAAATAATACATACTTATTACAAATAATTAATTTAATTTATTTTCTTAATCTACTCAAATTAGTCAACTATATTTAGGACATGAGGTAGTATAATATTTTTTTATTTTGAATGTAATTTATTTGTTAATTATTTTTAAAATTTATTTCAATTTTTATTTCATTGGTTTCTATAATAATTTATTAAATATATTTTGAATTTTATTTTATCTTATTTTCTGTCCTTTCTAAATAGTTTTTTTATATTTTTTAATTTAATAAATTGACCTTATTTTATTTTACTTACGTGCTCATAACATTATTTTATTAATTATTTAAATATGATGATATTATAAGAAAATTTTAATTATTCTTTAATATTGAGAGTTAAAATAATAAAATTAAAATATTGTATATGTCAAGTAAATTAAATTAATGAGACCAGCAGATAAAAATAAAATTCTAAGTTGAAGGGGAGAAATTAGATATGTAATTTTGGCCATTTCCTTTTGCGTCACTGTTTGAAGAGGACGTTTTTTGGAAGAATATAGATTTTGTTATCCGAAATACAGAGTAGAAAAAATTTGGGTGGATCACAATGTGAGGCTCTGCACAATGAGTCACGATCCACTAAAACAGAGAGAAACTATATACGTGTTAGATGTGAGATTCTCTGGATAGCAAAAATGAAAAATAAAAAAGGGCAGGCAACCTGGGGCCGGAAGAAATTAGTGGACGCATATTGTTCTTTGTGTGGCTTCATGAGAATCTCTCGGGCAGGGGCCCCTAATTTTCTTTTCCTTCCTCTTTCTGACGTTTCTCGATGCTGAAATATTTCTCCATCCGTCGGTTTCTTCTTCTTCTTCTTCATCTGTTTTTAGCCAACCGTCTGATTTCTAATATATGAATTAGTTAGAAAGATAGATTTGATTGTAAATATAATATTTTAATTTACTTTGCTTTTTATATTTATTATTTTTTTTCAAATTAATTTATCTAATTTATATTGAATTATATTTATTATAAAGTCTCTATCGTAATAATTTGAGGGAGTAGCTGGTCAAAAAAAATTTTGAGGGAGTAAATTTTAACAAGCCTCTTTCCTGATGGACATCATCCTTCTGACTTTCTGTACACTTGTCCTCTAACTCTAAGACTTTGTTTGGTTCAATGGAAGGGAGGGGAGGGGAGGTTAATTAAAGGAAGGGGAGGGGAAGGGAGGTTATGGTTTTGTTTGGTTGGAGGAGAGGGGAAGGGAGGAGAGATTTCTTGTTTGGTTCATAAGAGGAGGGGAGGGGAGATAATTATAAATTGACAAATATACCCTTATCTCTATATTTAGATTAATTTATTTTTTTAATACACACACGATATAATATATAATTATAATACACACATGTTATGATATGTATATATTAATACATATGATATGTATATATTATATAATTATATTATTATATTATTATTATCAAATATTATTAGTGGCTAAAAAGAGAAAGAAGTGAAAAAAGATTTTTAATAAGATGGACAAACTTGAAATATTAAAAAATTAGTATGGGTAGTTTGGTCAATATTAAACATAATATTTCTCTCCCCTCCAAAAAACCTCAAATTTGGAGGGGAGCATGGGGAGGGGAGGGGAGCACTAAAAGACAAATTTCTTCCCTCCCCTCCCCTCCATTTTTCCCAACCAAACACACTTATCCCCTCCCCTCCCCTCAACAACCCTCCAACCAAACAAAGCCTAAGCGCCCAGAAATGAGTGCTGCAATGTTCCGGTCACACGGACCATCAAATTTAATATCGATAATTTGGATTTAATCTTTTTAATGCTTTTTTTAAAACATTTTTCTTTTAATGCATGGAGAATCGAAAATAAAATAACATCTCAACTGATAATTTTTTTAAAAAATAATTTTTTATTTGAAAATCATTAATGGAAATCTATAAATTTATACCATGAAAACCATATGTGGATGGTACAAATCTCATTATAGTGATGAGCACCGTAATATTATTTTCTTCCTAAACCTTGGTTGCTGAAAAAATGGGGAAAATACACAAACAACTTCTTTAAATAATTGATGACAAGTTAAAAACAAACAAAAAAACGAATGAAACCAAATAATTCGCTCCATTTTGGCTCTGTTCAGCTTCACGGTCGACCACACAACTCCACCGACTTCCGATTAAATTATTTGCGCGTGTCTACATATATACGTATGCACGTACGATTCTGCATTGCCTTCCAGATCCTATCTGTTCTCTCCGGCTATAAGCTCAGGTGCCTCTTTTAAAACAAACATCACATCATTTTTTATTCAATTTAATTTTTGTATTTATCATACCAATTATTGATTTTTAAAATAGAACTGAGGGATTCACCCTTAAGTAATATATTATCGAATGAAAACGAATACTTTCTTGATTATTACTACTACGATTACTACTACGATCATTTCTGCGTGCGATTTAGACATGGCATTGTTATATTGGGGTAGGTGTAGCTTGGAAGAAACGAGGTGAAGGGTAGAAATAAACGTGATTAGCTCGAGTTTCGCTTTCATATTCTTATTTTTGGGGAAACAAAAGTTCACGCAAATTATTTTTAAAAAAAAGAAAAAAGATAACACTCTTTTTGCTTAAGGTAAATAATAATTCATACAAGATTATAACCATTCTAATAATAGTTAAAATTGAATTTATTTTGAAATGTCAAAGCTACTATTTATACTTCTAAGCAAAAAATTAGTAACGTTTAGGAGCGATATTATTTAGGTAAATTAAAAATAAGAGTTTTGGGCGGCTTAAATTCCTTCGAGTCCATGCAACTCCTGAGATTGAGAACGTGCAGAGTGTTCCGTGCGCGGCCTTCAACTTCTGGAAGTCTTTTACTCAGTCCTGAAGCATCCAGTTTAGTTTAGTTTAATTAGCCCGTTATTAACGCAGATCCTATAAAGCCTATGTCCCGTGTCACGTGTGTGTGATGTTTATTATGTTTTAGTGTTGTTTTTAATTAATAATTCTTATTGTGTTTGTTATGTTTTAGTTCTAATTGGAACTGTGAAAAGGTAAATTATGTGGCTGGCAAAACTTAAAAAAGAAAAGGCAAATCATGTGGGAAAAAACAAAATAAATAAAGATGTCCTCGATTCTGAGAGACTTTTTCTTTTACGGTGGAATATAAATTTGGTCACAATCAAAATCATAAGAAATCAATTGATTTAGCGTTTGGATATAAACCGAACTATGATTTTAAAAATATTTTTACAATGTACGAAATAAATATGTGAAAGAGTTTATCTCATTTTATCAAAAAATGCTTTTCAAAAATACTTGTTCATGTTACCAAACATCTCCTGGTCTTCCCAGCCCATTTCATTTACTTGCCGTTATTAATATAAATTTATATCACCGCGGCATCCAATTCAAAGTGCTGATTGAAAATGCCGTGACAACTTTTGTAAAAGTTGCAGACAAACACCTGGAATTTGTCATGATAATGATGAGAAGAAGAGTTATAATAGAATTTAGAATAAAAACATCCTAGGGAAAATCTAAGGAACAAAGTGTTTTATTAGAAGAATTTATGCTAGCTACTCTGCGCCTTTGTGGCTCCCTAATCACTGCTATACTTTAAACTATGGGACATGGATTCCAAAGCTGGCATTTGGGGGGGGAAAAGAAAGAAGAGAATAATTTAAGGGAGAGAATTTATGAAATTTCAAGTTCTCTGGTCGTCTGGTGTCATGTTGCACGTGAAAATTAAATAATGCTAACAGTCACGGCTGACTGGCTGAGTTAAGAATGCCGAAATTTAATAACAATAATAATAATAGTAATAATTTATGCATTTTCTAAGAGTCTGCTTGGTGCGAGGTAAATACAAAACAGAAAAGGAATAATTTATGCATTGTGTCCTGGGTACTTTTTTTTTTTTGGCCAGCTGTGCTATTTACTATATAACGCAATTCAAAACTTAATTTATAACAGCCTCTTCTAAGTTTTATATTTTATGTTGAAATTAAACTAAGTACGAAATAAATTATTACAAATAGTCTATTGAGTTTTAACAAGTCACACAGTTCATATAACCTAATTTGTTTACATTTAAATTTATATTTTGCACTGAAATTAAACTAAACATACCGCGTAAATTTAGCTGCATTGTCTCCATTTTAGTAATGATGCAGCGTGTGATATGTTATTGGCGTGCGCCAGTTATCTCATGAATTCTTTCTAAACTTTTTTTTTTCCCCTGAAAGCCTCATTTATAATACTTTTTTTCAGTCATTAGAGATTTTGAATATGTTTTGCACTTGTTTTTTTAAGAGAATCCTGTGCATCAGAAATAGAATTTGACCACGATACATTAAGGTGTGTTTAGTGACGACTTTCTCAACTATCTTAAATCTGGTATTTAAAGACGAGAGTCCTAACATGATCTGTTGATGAGTTGAGAAAAAATGATATTATCTGAATTAAAACTTTAGATATCAAACTATATTAACTTGGCTTGTTATAGTTAACACCTCGCGAGTAAAATTTATATCGTGTCATGATAATTATTTGTTGTTATTTGCAGGTGACGAAACTGGTAATTTACTTTATTTTCTGCTTTTGTACTTGAAAAAACGTGTATCTTATTGTTGTATTTTAAAAGTCAGTATTGAAGGGGTGATTGGATGAGATCAAAATTATTGTTTGAAAAGTACTTTTACAGTATACAAAATAAATATGTGTAAGAATTTATCTCGATTTAGAAAAAAATGCTTTTAACTTTTTACACTCAACCCAAACACCCTGAGCGTGATTAGGGAATGAGCTATTACTTCTATTATCTTACCCTTCACAGTAGTTTGGCAGGGGTGGAAGCCGTCAGTATATATCGAAACTGATGTGTTTCGTTACAAATAAAAAAAGGGGGATTTCCTGTGCGAGCTAAATAACTGTTTTTTTTTTTTTAACCGATTCATTCTATCTTCACTTTAGTTATTTATGTGTTAGAAGAAAAGAGTTTGGTCATTTATCACGTGAAAGAAGTGAGTCTACCTGCTTGTCAATAGATCATCATACTAGTATTTATAATAAATTGTATTGTTCGGCCTTTTTTTTGTTTACTTTTATATAATTTACAGAAAACATGCATTTTCTACCTTTCTGGAATCCCACAATATGCTCACATTTTTTGAGCCACTACTTTTTTTCCCTCAATCTATGTTGAATTGTTCCGGGTACCTTCTGTTTCTTTATCTTGTCTTTTTATGGTGCTTGGCTTCAATAGGTTGTGAAAAGATGAACAAGGAAATAAATTAAGAAAATATTTTTATTGACATATGTTTCTAGACTTACTCAGATAAAAATAATAATAATAAATATTATTAAAAAAAGTAAATAATCAAGATGATAAAGTTGAAATAAACATTGTATATTTTCTCTTTTATTGAAAATAATTTTATTCTCATTGTTGTGGCTTATATGCGATACTATCAGGCAGCATGAATAACTTCAAAATTCAAACTTGTGGTGGATATTGAAGAAACCCTTAAATTTAGAGATGATGTCCCCTATAGCGTCAAAAAAGGATATGATGTCCCTTAACGTCAAAGAAAACTTTATTAGCCCCATTGCAAGTGGAGGTCCTCTTGTTTGATTGTACAGTGCAAATAGTGATCAAGAAAAGCATGCATTTATATGATGACAGCGAAAAGCAAGCAGGTTCCATCAACCAAGGACAGCCTTTTAATAAAGTTAGATAATTAATTAGATAATTAGAGTGAGAATATTTAGATAGAATCAAAATCATGATTTTAAAAATATTTTTATTATATACAAAATAAATATGTAGAGAAATTTATCTTGATTTATAAAAAAATATTTTTTAAAAATACTTTTGATGCTTCCCAAATACCCTTGAACCACACACAAAATATTGGATCTTCTCTTCTTTTTTTTTTCCTTTTCTTTTCCCTTCTTTCCAGGCGATGTTCTGGGGTTATTTGTTTGAAATGAAAAGTGTATATTCTCAATTCATATTTATTTGAATAAAAAATTTGAGCTTATACATTTGTTATAACATTTTTAAAATAACATATAAAAGTATAACCATCCAAGTTGTTTCTATTTGCGCCATAGCTTCGTTCAGAATTGCATTAGAAGCAGAACGACATTAAAAAAATGTTCGTAATTTTTATGATTTCTTATTTTTAAATATTTAATTATGTAGTTATTATCTAAATTCTGTTAAAATTCCATCTACTTCTCATTGATTTATTTGTTTATAACTTCTCTTCTGTTTTTAAAGTTAATACGAATATTTTTTAAATTTCACTAAATTAAACAGGATTTTCCTCAATTTTTACAACTTGTGTAAATATTTGTTAAAAAATTTACACCAACATTGTTGGGTTTTGTCAAAATTATAATTTCACTTTGAAAATCGACACAAACTTTAAGTGAAAAATAAAATCATATAATTTTAGGAAAACTGGATGTCTTTTATAGTTTATTATGTTAAAGAAGGGTTATGTGTGTGTGTACGTGAAAAATAAAACAAATTTGAAACAAGTCAAAGGAAGTTTGTGTAACTTTTTTTTTGGCAGAAACTCATGTGAGTTTTAAAAATACAAATCCATGAAATGTTAATAAAATTAAAAAAAATCTAGAAAATATATCATGCCACCTCCAGTCCTAAATATAAGAGTTAGTTTGATTTTTAATTTAGTCCTAAATATGACACCCCAATCCACTTTGTCTCTAATATTTATTAATTTTTTTAAAAATAATATTTGTAGTAGTTGTACAGGTTAAATATTCAATTAAATAATAGTTTTAGTTAATATATAATTAGTAAGAGTATTTTAGGAAAGACAAAACTTAATTATTATAAATAACTAACTCAACAAATCTTTTTAATTTACTCAAATTAATCAACTATTTCTTATACTACTTCCGGTCCTTAATATAAAACCATATTTGACTTTTATTTTGGTTATAAATATAAGACCCCAATTCACTTTGTCTCTCATATTTACTCAATTTTTTTCTAAGATAATCCTTCTAATAATTATAGTTCCAGTTAATACACTTGATTAGTAAGGATATTTTAGGAAAGACTAACTCAATTTATTTTTTTAATTTCCTTAAATTAGTAAACTAACTCTTATAATTAAAACTGGAAGTAATATTAAACATCGGAAGTAGTATTGTTTTTGCGCAAGAGGTAGTTAGGAAATTGGGGACTTGGTGCCGTCCTGGCCTCCTGGGGTGAGGGGTTGTGGAAGAACGAAAAGGGGAAGGGGATACGCAATGAATATTCAAAAGCGAAGGGGGGGCAAAAAGCGGTGAGAGGGAAAAAAATTGAGATGATTGCGTAGAATTAGAAAGATGTCCCTCTCAGTGCTTTTCATATTTTTGAATTTGATTCATATTTTTTTTGCCAGATAATTTGATTTATATTTTGATTTAACATTTTTGAAATGTTACACTTATATGTCAATCTATTGACTATCTATGGGGACACAGTCCAATCTTCCACATGGAATTTTCAATTACTTAAATCTTCCTTTATTTTAAGCCTGTGAAAGAAGAAGAAACGACGGTACAGACTTTTAAAACTTCTACGAACAATGTTACGCGATTGGAAATTTAAATGTTTGCCTCGAAGTGCAATTTCAAAAAAGCGAACAAAATAAATTACAATATAAGTGCCTGGGCTTTTACCTAAAAGAATTTTATTTTAAAACAATCACAGGAAGGCACAATTTATTTTATTTTCCTCTTATTTTCTTCCTGCATTCCTTCATTTTGGGGCCACATGCATGCACAATTTGACGTTGTCTTCGAGTATTTATAACTATCGTCCATCAACAAGGACCTGGACCCTTGCACATTAAATAAGAGAGTACTTTTTGTCTATTTAAAACAAAGAATGAAAGATGTTCTAAACATTTTTACTCTATAAAATTTTTCACACGCACATATAGATATATTTCTTTTTAAAATGTTACTTGTGTTGCAAACCACGGTGGGCAACAAAAGTAGCATTATTGACACACCCAGTGCGCTTGGCATTCACGTACGCATACGGAAAAAGGAAGTTGCTTTTTTTCCTTTGGACTGCCAAATGATAGAATATAAGTAATCTATATAGATAGGCCGAAAGCAATATAGGCAGATAACTACTCGTTTAGGCCTAATTTTTCTTTCTCTCTCTCTCTTTTTTTGGGGGGGTGGTGTTGGCTACAACTCGTTTGCATATGGACATTTCCACTGAAAATTAAGGATGCGCCTAAAATAAAGCAGAGAGGGCGGTGGAATTTGATTAGTCAAACTTGGGTGGTCGTACCTAAACAGTAGGTCCAAGTAATTCAGCCTATTTTCATTTTTGTTGACATCCATACACATTGATTAATATATTGTTCATACTAAAGACGCATTGACAGAAAACCTACCACTCTTATTCACCGACTCATTCTACGCATTGCATTCTTGACACTTCAAATGCTGTCTGTAGCATGGCACCTACCCAACTTTACAATATCACGAATAGGCAATAGCTTTGACCAAAAAAGAAAGAAAGAAAGAAAGAATAGGCACTAGCAAATTGAGCACCGGGGTGGTGGCGCAGCTGACTTTGAAGGACGTCCCTAATGTTTTCTAGACTATCGACACACCCGGTGACTGAAGTCATTTACTTTTAGCCCTGTAGATTTGACAGAAACCATAAAATTCAAGTGACGTTTGCATCTGCTCAACTACCAATCAATGCAAGAGCTTAGTTAGAACCAGTAGCAGAACTAGCATTTAGATGTTAGAGGAACTGAAATTAATCAATTAGAGAACATATGGATTTTAGGAAATCGCAAATGTATAACATGACATATTAAAAAGAAATTGAAAACTTGGAAAGGCCATGGGCCTCTGCTAGTTCCCCTTCTGACAATAGTTATGCTTGATACAAAATAGAAGCAAAATACTTACAGAAAAACACAAGGTGAAATCAATGCCAATCAACGATCTCTCCAAGTGAGGTGGACCCCACCCCTTCCCATACTTCATGGAAGCCGACTTCCTCGTTGTCAATACCTTCCATGTCACAGTCCCACCATCCACAGCCATTTTTATCTGTTCAACATGAAAAGGTAAGTAATAATATCTACTGAGGTTTTGAAACACATTCTTTAGATGTAACACAATTTACATGTGCAAATGTAAATGAAACATACAGTGATTGTAAAGCGGTCGGCGCCTTTTGTTGCTTGAAGAATGAGTAGCAGTTCTTTTTATTTGCCTTCTGGTTGATTCACCTCCAAGAGTTACCACTTGCCGTTTGACAGTATGGTTCTCACTCAGTCCTAGTAGCATACCAAAAAAAAAAGGGTCCAGGATGAAACAAAAGTGCAAAATGAATACATTCCTAGAAAAAGGGCTAGCATTTTTATGCTATATAGACTTCGCAAATTTAAAACGAAATTTTATAGACATCCTTTAGTTCTCAGCCTAAAAATTGAGAGCATGGGCTGTTTATATTTATTTCTCCATCGGTCCATGCAAGGGCCTTTGTATATAAAATGACACTCAATTTTCCAAAAACAATGAAGTTATCCGGATGACAGATGCTATAAAGATTACACGCAAACAAGCAAAAGCCAGTTCATGTTGGATTTATGTGCATTAGGTACCTGCCCAAAAAAAAAAAAAAAAAGGCCCAGGCTAACCTTAATGCTCTTCCTTCTAAGTTTCCCCTCCTTTTTCGTGAGTGCGTAATTGTTCAGAGATTTTTTACCCAAAAAAATTGTTCAAGGATTTTAAGAATCAAAATTCAAACTTCCAAGTTTATGAATTATGATCTGCCATAACCTAAAAGTTCCCTGATTCAATTTGACCAGAAGGAATTCTGCTTGAGATACTTGAGCATTATACATAATTAGATGAGATGTAAATCACAAATACACAACTATCCTTGCTGTCCCTATATTCGATGAATACAATCGTCACTCAAGGTAATCCGAATTGACAGATAACCTGTCGAAATGGTTTTCCAAGTACAGTATAGGCAAATACAAAACTATATATGTTTGAAGTTCTGACCTACCTGACTGGCTCATATATCAAGCTGGACAAAATGGAAACAAATCCTAAATTATTTTATATAGCAGAAGCGCCTATGAGAAGCCCAAGAACAGGGAACAAAAGAATTAAATCATAAACACTATCTTTAAGGCATGAAAAGAAAGTCGTACCATAAATTGAAGCTATAGAAAGTGATGCGGATAAAGGGGAGAGAAGCAATTGTTGTCGTGACATACACACAGCATCCATATAATCACGTGACCTATCTCCCCATCAACAATGATAAAAATTTAAGTAAATTTGCATCACACATGACAGATGTTGGTTCCTTTGGCTCCGAATTTCAGTTCCATCAGAAACTAGATCAAACCTCAGTTCTTTCTTTTCACTGCGAATATGCCATTAAATAGCTCATATTCATCCTTCCACAGTTTTCATTGAATACTATATCTTTTTACACAGCTTAGTTGCTTGCGGGAACTAACCGACATTTAAACTGTTTGAGGCAGTGCAGTTGACCTTGAGATTTTCATATGCACTAAAACAAGCCAGGAGTGAAGAAAAGACACTTCATCTTTCAGCAAACATTCAATCTATACTACTTCAACAGATAGATGCATGTAAAGGATCCTATAATAAACCTATGATACTTAATCCTCCCATTTTTATAGCTGTCCTTAGGAACGCATGATACTTGATGCTTTACAAAGATTGTTGTAAGAGGATAAATACAGCTTGCAATGTCATGAATCACTAATTTAAGCAAAGAAACCAATATCCATTGATTCGTCAAGAAAATAACGGAGAAATAACGTCGCAAGGGGCAATTCCTCAAACTAAAGGACATCCTGCCTTAATTTATAGGGTAAGAAAGACAAACCTGCAAATGAATTCTTTCTTTTCCTTGAGTCTTGCGTATCATCTTCGACGGAATTTTCTGTCTCATTAACACCACTTGGACCGATGAAATCTCCCTTCTCTTCATCATTATGCTTGAAATTTTCAAAAATCACTCTATCACTGATACTCGTCGTCTCTTTATCAACTTGTTCAATGTTCCCAACATTTTTAACTCCGGATGTTCCTAGACCCAGGGGAGATGAAAAAGGCGTTGGTTTCCCCTGTAACAAATAGGATAATTTCTTTTCAGAAATTCAAACACATAATGGAAACTACAAGTAGGCCATTTCTTTCCAGTGATTCCAGTTCATCTATCTTTGAACTAAAACCCTACGTTACCGAGATCTCAAATTGAGGTATCCCATTCCGCGCTTCCCCAAAACCTCCCTACAGAAGTTATTAGAAGAAACTTCGATTCTCCTTTTTTTTTTCATTGGAAAAAAAAAAGGATTGTATGCATTCATCCGGAAGTGGTTCAGCTAAGTATAAAATACAAAAGCTAAATACGAAAGCAAAAAGCTTCAAATCACCTGAATTCTTCCGAGAACTAAAGAAGATTTCCGCAACTTGCGGTCGAGGAAGTCTGAAAGCGAGACAGGGGTGCTCTTGTGCGAGCCTTGTCTTCCCTCATTGCCTTTAAGATCGTTGGAACTAGTTGAGCTAAGAGTTTCATCACAAAAAGGCAAAGAAAGGGTAAGACATAGGGGAAGCAAATAATCTATCAGAGGGAAGAGAACTGGGTTTGTTGTGCTTACGAATCAGAAGGGAGTTTACGGAATGTTGAATCAATTGATCGCTGCCCAAAGATCCTAATCGGTTTCTGTAGTTTTGAGGACATATTCAGGACTGCGATTGAAATGCCAACTGCTTCGTTATCTGTCTAGTCGGGGTGCTTGCTTGGTACGATGTGGCGGACTAGTGACGAAAATTTTGAATGAGCAGTGCTTTACGCGCCAAACCAAAACTCACAAAAATCGAGTGCCAAAACCATAAATAGTTCTGCTTCAGCTTTTAATTATAAAATTTTATTTATAATCTATAAATGAGATCTTATAATTAAGATTGGAGGTAATTAAACATAAAAAATCTTGTCACGATAATATTCGTACTTTCCTTTTGAATTAAAAGTTTAAATTTATACATAACCAAAAATAAAAGATGAAATTTATAAATTAATCATTAGAGATCTCCTTAAATTTATAAATTACATAATACAAATTTATCAGTCGAGCATTTATATTAACATAACATAGATTTATAGTAGAAATGTTTAACACTGTTTATGACTCAAACAGCATAGTTTTATAAATAAAAATATCATTAGTGATTTTAACAAAGACGAGTTTTATATTCTGTCCAAACAAAGTTTCATGGGTCTGTTAGAGAAACCAAAGTTTTAATTTGAGTTTGGATCTCTAAATGGAGAACGACACGAGAACCATAGAAGGAAATTGATTATTTTAAAATATCATGAATTCTTAAAATGTTACAAGTTAATCAATTTTTTATAAATTAAATGAATAAAAATTCTCATACATGGTTGACACATAGCTGAATCATAAATGGCAGAGGGCTGCAAATCACGAAAACTTAGCAGTTAGAAACGATTATTTGTGAATGAGTTGTAAAGTGTGAAAGTTTTATAGATTTTGAAAACTCAATTACCTGTACTAGAAGCAAATACGCCCTAATAAGTTATTTGTCTCGTTTGAATCCAATTAAAAAAAAAATAAAAGCTGCGCAGTTTTACTGCAGCGCATGCCTGACCATGAAAAATGAAAATAAACTGGATAACTATAAATAATTTATGATACTATCTGATAAAGATGTAATAAAAGGTAAGGGAAAATGACAGAAAAAGGACGGTTGAAATTTGAAATGACAAAATGGGTATACAAATAACTGAAATGACCAAATGGGTATGGGGTATCAATCTGGAATTTTGTCAATTCGGTAGAAAGACTAAAATACCCTCAACCTCTCTGAAGATATGAACTGCAAAGAAAACAATAATATACCAGAAGAGAGAGAGGCTGAGAAGACGAAGCTAGAGCAAGGGTGGAAATCTGGAAAGAGGGAAAAGATAAGCAATTTTTCCGTTAAAACACTAGTATCACCCGATTTCTTTGTTGCTGCATGCTCGAATGGGGATGGGTCTGTGAGTGTAGAGGGTTTGGATGAATAATTTGATCAGGACGAGAGAGTGACGCGTCGGAAATGGAAAAATGGTGACAAACAGTAAGCATGAGGTGGTCAGTGTTGTTAAATTCATTACTGAAATTGTAAAATCCTATATTTAAGTTGTCAATGGAGTAAGTGGGTGTGTGTATTTTTTGGGTGTTTCGAAAGATAAATGAAATTGATTATTGGGTAACTAAAATATTGATTTATGCTTCTTTATTGCAGGTTAGCAGGCTTTGATGACATCTGACATTGGGTCTAACATTGAGGAGTAATTTTTTTGGTGTAAATAGAATAACTTTTGAACCCTTAATTTTTTGGGAGAATAGTTGATAAAGAGGTTATCCTTTTTGTAAATGATGTTAATTGGGTAGGATATGTTTGTAATATGAATGACAAAGAAACATTAGGTGGTGGTTTAATCTTAATGTTAACTTGTCATTTGAATACAAGTTATGTAACTTCTGTCATAGGCGTACTGGTTTTTGGTAAATATTATCACTTCAGTAGTCAATTCCATTATACATGTAGTAAAGTCTGAATGTTAATATAAACATATCATGATGTTCTTCAGGTGTACTTGTATGCTATTTTGTCAACACATTTTTACCATTTGCTTAATTCCTCCAAGGGAGATGGCGGAAGTTGCCAATGGGCATGACCGGAGTGGTTAATTTGATTACAAATGTTGTTACTCACATTACAAATGTTGTTATTATTATTATTGGGGTAGTGAGTGGCTATGGCATGTCATCTTACAAGCATGTGTGTGTTCATTGCTGCTGGGGCTATTAATGCTTGAGGTTGCGGGATTCAAGTTTTGGAAATTTAGAAGCTGATATAATAGTGTTCAAAGACTGTTTAATGAATCTGAATTATATATTAGCATGTTCTGAAAGTGAAAATAATTTACAGATTATATATTATTGCTAGTTGAAATGTTTTGAAGGTTAAAAGCTGATTCAATACTTGTAAAATATTTGTATATATATGAGTATATGGGTTATTGCTTGTGAATTGATGCTTGTGAAATTAAAGTATCGAGGCATAAAACTGATTTTCCTTTCTTTTCTTTTTTTTTTTTTTAAAACTGTTGGTTTGAGGATTGAAGAGCTAGAGATTAAAAACTGATTTGGACATAATGATTTATGTCTCTAAGTGCTGAATTATGATTGTGCTGTTTGAATCAGATTGTTTTACAGTCTGTGAGCTCAAAGTAGGAGCTGAAAAATCAGTTTCAAGTTACTGAATTATGCATTCGTGTGGTGGCTAGTGAATCATGACCTTAATTCAAGACATGACAAAGCATTGAGCTTGTTTTCATCAAATGAAGCCACCACACTGACCAAACGACAGCATCTGTGGTAGTAGTAAAGATTACGTAAATTAAACATATAGTATTTGTGAAAGTAGTGTTCAGATATTGTCAAAATACTTGACTTATGGTTGTAGGTTGTAAGTTATGATATTTGTTGGCTTAATTTAAATTTTTTTTGGAATAATTTCACTAAACAAGTAATGATAATTACAGCATGCATAATGAAAGTTGTAACTTCTGTCATGGCATTTGCAACTCAATTATTTGTACCCCAAATTACATCTATTTGGACCCAAATTTCACTACACACGTAATGGGATTAACAACATTCGTAATGCAAGTGACCACTTCCGTATTACCATTTGCAACTCGTTTATTTTAAACCAAAGTAACATGTATTTGGAGCCAATTTCACTACTCCGATAATGATAATGACAACATTTATAATATGAATTACAATTTTTGTAATGAGAGTTATCATCTCGCTATTGTTATTTGCAACTCGTTTATTTCAAACCCAAGTAATATATATTTGGAGCTAATTTCACACTCCTGATAATGATAATGACAAAATTTGTAATGTGAATTACAACTTTCGTAATGAGAGTTACAATTTCGCTATTGTCATTTGCAACTGGTTAATGTGAAATGAATTTAACATGTATTTGGAGCAATTTTACTACCCTAATAATGATAATGATAATATTTGTAACGTGAATTACAACTTTTGCAATAAAGTTACTATCTCGCTATTGCCATTTGTTAACTCATTTCTTTCAAACCCAAATAACATCTATTTTCAGCCAATTTTACTACCCCGATAATGATAATAACAACATTTGTAATGTGAATAACAACATTTGTAATCAAATTAACCACTCCGGTCATGCCCATTGGCAACTTCTACCATCTCCCTTGGAGGAATTAAGCAAATGGTAAAAATGTGTTGACAAAATAGCATACAAGTACACCTGAAGAACATCATGATATGTTTATATTAATATTCAGACTTTACTACATGTATAATGGAATTGACTACTGAAGTGATAATATTTACCAAAAACCAGTACGCCTATGACAGAAGTTACATAACTTGTATTCAAATGACAAGTTAACATTAAGATTAAACCACCACCTAATGTTTCCTTGTCATTCAGATTACAAACATATCCTACCTAGTTAACATCATTTACAAAAAGGATAACCTCTCTATCAACTATTCTCCCAAAAAATTAAGGGTTCAAACGTTATTCTATTTACACCAAAAAAATTACTCCTCAATGTTAGACCCAATGTCAGATGTCATCAAAGCCTGCTAACCTGCAACAAAAAAGCATAAATCAATATTTTAGTTACCCAATAATCAATTTCATTTATCTTTCGAAACACCCAAAAAATACACACACTCACTTACTCCATTGACAACTTAAATATAGGATTTTACAATTTCAGTAATGAATTTAACAACACTGACCACCTCATGCTTACTGTTTGTCACCATTTTTCCATTTCCGACGCGTCACTCTCTTGTCCTGATCAAATTATTCATCCAAACCCTCTACACTCACAGACCCATCCCCATTCGAGCATGCAGCAACAAAGAAATCGGGTGATACTAGCGTTTTAACGGAAAAATTGCTTACCTTTTCCCTCTTTCCAGATTTCCACCCTTGCTCTAGCTTCGTCTTCTCAGCCTCTCTCTCTTCTGGTATATTATTGTTTTCTTTGCAGTTCATATCTTCAGAGAAGTTGAGGGTATTTTAGTCTTTCTACCGAATTGACAAAATTCCAGATTGATACCCCATACCCATTTGGTCATTTCAGTTATTTGTATACCCATTTTGTCATTTCAAATTTCAACCGTCCTTTTTCTGTCATTTTCCCAAAAGGTAATGCGGCTATGAACTTTATTTTATTAAAAAACTCTATTAAATTGATATTATCTTCGCTAGTTAATATAAAAACTAGTTAACTAATTTAAGTAGGTTAAAAAAATTTGTTAAATTAGTTCTTTATAATAATTAAGTATTGTTTTTCATAGAATACCCTTGCTAATTATGTATATTAAATATAACTATCATTTGATGAAATTTTTAACATGTGCAACTACTTTAAGAATTATTTTAAAAAAAGGATAAATATAAGAGACAACATGAGTTAGATCTTATATTTAAAACCAAATTGAAAATCAAATTAACTCTCATATTAAGAATAGGAGGTAATACCTTTTATGGTGCAACTAACCAAACATAGTTATATACTACTATCTCTTATCTTTGATATAAGAAGGGAAAACTAATTTGGAGATCCTATTTCCCTTAGTTTTGAATCAAGTCCCTAAACTTTTTTTTCTTTTCATGAAATCCTTTAATTTTTAACAGGTAGATCAGTTAGTCCCTATTATTAAATAAGTAGTAACAACGTCAAAAATTTCGTTAGTCTCTTCTCCTTCCATCTCCTTCCACCATAGTGTCAAGTTTG